GTGACCGGATGCTCAGGCTGGGAGTCACGGCCTGTCTGTGTCCACAGAGCAGGGTAATGAGGTCTGACTGATGAGAACGCCTGACCCGCATGCCCTCAGGGGAGGGCCGGCAGCCCCCAGTGGCTCAGTGAGTGTGGGGAAGGCCCTTAGTGTGTGGCTCTGAGGAGGCTGTGGGGCGGGTGGCAGGCAGTTCTGTCTGGGCCTGTCCTAGTCCTTCCACAGGCCCCCCGGCCCCCAGCCCAGTCCCCTGCCCGGGGCGCCTCCGCTTCCCAAGTGTTGGAAGTCCCTTCTCTGTTCTTAGTAATTGTGGGGGCGCCCAGGGGTGTGGGTGTGCGGCTGGGGTCGCTCTTGTCTTCTGCTCCTGATGCTGTCACCACGGGCCTGGTCAGGGCTGACTCTCCTTGGCATCGGGCAGTGGGACTCTCGCCAGCTGCCCTGCGAGGCCCCAGGAGTTCCTGGTGCCCCACACCCAGCGCTTCAGCCGGGAGGACCTCCTTTTCCTGCCCGCCCTCCCCAGGCTAGTTCTCTGAAGGTGGGTTGTTTATGTCCGTGCGTCCGGCCGAGCGTCCATGCCAAGCGTCCACGCCGGCACCGGCGGGCAGGAGGTGCTCACACACCATGGGGTGTGCCGCGCCGACTGTGCGGGTTGTGTGTCTGGCTGAGCGTCCATGCCGAGCGTCCATGCTGAGCGTCCACGCCGGCACCGGCGGGCAGGAGGTGCTATGCTCCATGGGGTGTGCCGCGCCGACTGCGGGTTCTCAGTGGGACACCCCTCCCCGCGGGCAACACCTCTTGCTCCTCAGGGCAGTGTCTGTGCCGCGGAGGCCCTTCTGGCTCGGGGGTGAGGGGTGTCGGTGGGGACCGTGCAGGCCGGGCCTTTGGAAGCTGGCCTCTGGCCGGCTCTCTGACCCACACATTCCTGCCCGCGTAGCTGTCATGCACCTGAAAGCCCGGCTGCCTTTCATCTGAAGAAAAGCGATGCTGAGAGCCTGGTGCTCGAGGCCTGCGGAGGGAGCAGGGTCAGCTGGGAGGGGGAGCAGCGCCCGATGCCCGGACTCGCCTGCTGAGCAGCTCCCTGTGCCTTGCTGCAGGTATCACCTGGCTCTGATACTCAGGGCATTTTCATCTCTCAGAGCCTCATTTTCCTCATCTGTAAAATGGGCACAAGGGCCCCAGCCTTGCCTCCCTCCCAGTAATAATCTCTAGCGTTTGCTGAGGGCCACTGGCCTGGGCTGGGCTAAGGGCAGAGGTGGCTGCAGGACCCCAGCCTCATTCTGCTGCCTGGCCTGGCTTGTGGGTAGAGCGGAGGGAGCAGGGTCAGCTGGGAGGGTGAGCAGTGCCTGAGGCCTGGACTCAGGTGGTGAACAGGGAGGCGGAGCAGCTCCCTGTGCCTTGCTGCAGGTATCACCTGGCTCTGATACTCAGGGCATTTTCATCTCTCAGAGCCTCATTTTCCTCATCTGTAAAATGGGCACAAGGGGGAGCAGCGCCCGATGCCCGGACTCGGGTGGTGAGCAGCTCCCTGTGCCTTGCTGCAGGTATCTTCTGGCTCTGATACTCAGGGCATTTTCGTCTCTCTGAGCCTCATTTTCCTCATCTGTAAAATGGGCACAAGGGCCCCAGCCTTGCCTCCCTCCCAGTAATAATCTCTAGCGTTTGCTGAGGGCCCCGTGTTTTAAGCACTTTGCGGGCACTCACTAATGCGGTCTTCTCTGTTGTTGCTATGACTACTTTAGAGGGGGAACTGAGGCCTGGAGAGGCCTCTCGCTTGCCTAAGGTCTCGCTGGAGGGCAAAGTGGGTGGCCCAGCCCCGGGCAGGCTGGCTCCAGAGAGCGCTGGGAGCCTCCGTGCGTGCCAGCATGGGGAAGGGGACGGAGGAGGTGCTTCTAAACGCTGAAGCTCACAGCAGGAGGGTGGGGTTTCTGTCAGGTGGCCCTGGGGCAGCTGCGGTGGTGGACATCCACCCACTTGGCTTGGGGTGTCGGCCTCCTGCAGGTCAGGGTAGGGGGTTCACTCCTGCCTGTTCGGAAAAGCCTTGAACAAAGCACCGGCCGCAGGAGACTGAGCCCTCAGGGGGCCCAGACGCTCCCTCTCCTCTCGGGCGGTGTGGGCGGGACTGGCTGCTGTCAGTCAGGGAGCCAGTGATCCCGGGCCTGCGTGTGTGTGGCTGCAGGTTAGTGCAGCAGCTGAGAACATGGGGCCAGTGATCCCGGGCCTGCGTGTGTGCCGGCAGACCCACCAGACCGGGTGTGTGTGGCTGCAGGTTAGTGCAGCAGCTGAGAACAGTCAGGCTCCAAACACACGTGTGTGCATGGACACAATGCACATGCCTGCTCACACATGTGCGCCCACATGCACGCATGCACATGGGCCTTTGCACTGGCTGTTTCCTCTGCACGAAGCGCCCTCCTTCAAATACCCACGTGGCTTCGACCTTTGTTTCCTTGGGTTCTTAACTCCAGTGTCACCTGTTAGAGGGGCTTTCCCTGGCCCCTCTCTCTGACAGCCCCCTGCTCCTCCCATCTTCCATTTCCTTCTGGACCCTCGTCCCCTCTAACAGCCCTGCATCACCTCCTTTGACGTCTCTGTCTAGATCGGGAGCCCACGAGGGCAGTGGTCACCGTCTGTCTCCAGTCCTCAGCGCTAGCTACACGTGACAGGCCGTCACTAATGACTACTGGTGGGAGGGGTAAAGAGGGAGTGTGCTGTGTACTTGTGAGCTCAGGGCACAGGCTTCCACGTGTGCCTGTGCGTGCCCACACGTACACACTCACGCAGATGCACTTGGCATTCATCTTCACTGTGTTTCAAGCCCGGAAGCAGCTTTTGTCTTTCCGCAGTGCATGAGCCTCCTGGACACTCCAGAGGGGCTGTTTTCAGCTAAGTGCTCTCCCAGGCAGAGACGCTGCTGGCACAGGCGGGAGAGCGGCCCACGTGCTCACCAAGATTCACAGGTGCTTGTGTTCTAAGGGCTATGTTTGCATGATTCCACATGCAAAAGGCACAAAGGGTATAAGGTGAAAGGTCCCTGCCCAACCCTGGCCCAGCCATGGTTCCCTCCCCAGAGACGCCTTCACCGTTTTGTTGCAGATCTGTGTGTTTATAGCCGGGTATGCATGGCCCCTCACGCAATAGGGGCACCAGGGCTGCACCTTGCTCCTCTGTCGCTGTTGCTTTGACCCCGTGTCTCAGAGAGTGGCCCAGAGCAGTGCCTGGAAAGCTGCCTGTTCTTTTTCGCAGCTGCATAGTATTCCTTGTAAGGCCATAGGTTCTTCCGCCAGATTGTGTCCCAAGTGTTGCTGTACAGAGGGTGCTGCAGTGAATGAGCACAGAACTGCACCGAGAGGGGCTCAGTTGCCCAGAAAACCCAGAACAATCATTGGTTCCCTCCCCTGGGCCTCCCCCAAGCCTCCCAGGAACTGGGTCCCTTCCCACGAGTGAGCTCAGTGGGGCCTGCTGGGGACATCGCAGGGGCCGAGCCGGCCGTGCCCTTTTCCTCAGTGGAAGGTGCGTCTGACTCTCCTTGGGTATGGGGACGGCAGAGGCACAGGTGACTCTCCTTGGGGATTGGGACGCAGAGGCACCGGTGACTCTCCTTGGGGATGGGGACGCAGAGGCTTGTCCTGGGGGCGTCCCCGAGCCTCTCGCCCAGACACTTCCCACCCTCAGTTGCCGCAGGGACGAAAGCTCTGGCCACGAGTGTTTGTGGCCAGGACTGACTTAGTGATTCCTTGAGCGGATAAATCTCAGGTTTGACATCAGCCCAGATCACTGTGCCCACCCCTTCACCCTGTCACCCTGGACAGCTGAGGGCAGGGCAGAGGGCACAGGAACAGTGCGTTTGGTGTGCACGGAGGTGGGCATGGGGAGCGTGGAGCCCGGGCAGTGCGCCTGCCTGTGCGGAGGGCACCGGGGCTGTGAGTGCGGGCCGGGGGGAGGGGAGGCGCAGGAGGTCCGCCAGGCCCCTTCCACATGCTCTGAAGGTGGTGGGTGTCAACCACAGGAGGCAGCAGCTTAAGGGCTCTGCATCTCACCTTTGCCTGGGGGTGGGGAGGCGGGGGCTGTGGGCCAGGAAGGTGCTCTAAGGCCGCGGTAAGTGGGAGCTGGGGCAGCAGGCCTCGAGTCTGTGGGGCGGTGGGCCCCTGCCTCTCTGGGCCCTGAGTCCCAGACTATGAGAGGGGGATTTCTCAAAGGCCCCACCCGCTCTGGCCTCCTGGGATTCCATCCATGGGAGGGTAGGGCGGGGCAGGGGGAGCTGGAGCCTGAGTCCAGAGGGAGTTGTGGGGACAGGGTCTGCTGGGTGGTGACCCAGGGGCTCCCTGGGGAAAGGAGATGGACCCTCAGGGTCCCCTCTTACTACCATCCCCCCACCCCATCCCCAGGCCAAACCATCCCACACACCTGGGGATTTTCCCCGGCTGGGATCTTCCAACTCTTTATGTAAATCAAGGCACCCAGAGGTCCCTGGGGTGTGTCTACACATGCATGTATGTGTGTGCATATGTATAGATGCATGAGTGCACATGTGAACATGTACACATTTATGTGTGTGCATATGTGAGATTCCCGATGACTTTGTGGTGTGTTGTTGGGGGACCACCAGCCACAGGACCCAGGTAAGCTGCTGGGAGACTTTCTGGAGGAGGGCTTGATGCTGACATGCCAGGCACTTGCCCACCTGATGCCAGCGTCACTCCTGCTGGGAGTGGGGAGGGCCACAGGGGCACAGGGGCAGGGAGAGCTGACTGGAGGTGGGCGGCATCAGGACCTGGGCTGGAGCCAGGGGCAAGGCCGGCCAACCATTTGCCCACCCTCTCTGGGCCTCAGTTTCCTCCATGTCACAGGGTCTCCCCCAGGATTCGAGGAGGCAGTGCCCGCGGGAAGGGCTGGGGCTGTTCCCAGGCTGGGGGACAGGAGGGAGGTTGGTGTGCGGGGTGCGGTGCTGGATGGGCAGGGTGGGGGTGCCAACCGCCCCCATTAGTGGCTCCTCTCACCTCTAGATCCCCCAGATCAGCTACGCCTCCACAGCCCCGGACCTGAGTGACAACAGCCGCTACGACTTCTTCTCCCGCGTGGTGCCCTCGGACACGTACCAGGCCCAGGCCATGGTGGACATCGTCCGCGCCCTCAAGTGGAACTACGTGTCCACGCTGGCCTCGGAGGGCAGCTATGGCGAGAGTGGCGTGGAGGCCTTCATCCAGAAGTCCCGAGAGGACGGTGAGTCCGGTGCCGCCTGCAGGGTCATCTCGGGAATGGGGGGGCCTGCCACAGCACCATGCTGTGCACTGCCCCCCAGCCACCTGCTGGGTCCTGCTGTGGGCTCTGCCTGCCCTGGGCCCTGCCCTTGTGGGCCTCGGCCTCTCCCCTGAGCACTGGGCCATGGCCTTGCCGGGAGCTGGGTGGCTCCTGGGGGCGAGGGCGGGTGTGAATGACTTAGCAGAGGTGGCCAGGTGTGGCCAGGCCGCGGAGGGACTGGCAGTGTTCCTGGTGTGGGAGCTGGTGGAACAGCCGCTGCTCTCAGGCAGAGGGGAGGGGGAGGGGGAGGAGAAGGAGGTGGCCTTATTTAAGGGGTGTCAGGGGCCAGCTAGCAGGTTCTTGAAGCAACTTTGCGGGATCAGGAACTCGGAGTCCCTAAGACTGAGCGGCCTGGTGGGGTGCGGGCGGGGCCGTGGGTCACATCTGCTGCTGGCTCCCCCTCCGTATGGTCGGTGCTGTGGGTGGGATTTGAGGAACGTGGGAAAGTGAATTGCTCTCCTTGAGGACCCCCCTCCCCCCAACAGGCCTCCTTCCCCGGGTTAAGCTCACTGCTTTCCCTTAATTGCGTCAGAAACTCTAGCTATCAGCCAGCGGTAAGCGGTAAGCGCTGACATAACAGGGTTTCACCTCTGGGTGGCCCTGCTGAGGGAGGGAAGCCCCTCTCTGCCTGCGGTGGCTCCTGCAGCAGGTGAGCCCTGTCTGGAGGTGGTGGTGGGGGGCAGTGGGAGGCAGCCCCACCTCCCTGCAGAGAGGGCCCCTCCGCCCCCCTCCTGGCCTCTCCCAAGGCCGTGTCTCTAAATAGCTCCTGTGGCACCTCGACCTTGGGGTGGCGTCTGTATTTATACCCACATAACCCGGCACTCTAATTGCTTTTTCTAAGGACCACAGTGTCCAGCGGCTGGCGTCGGCAACACCCTGCGGGCATAATCCCGCTATAAATCTTGGATAAGCCTCTTTAATTGTACAGCCAAACCCTCCGGGTGCCTGTGACCTGGCGCAGAGGGCGGCCTGCGGAAGTGGGGTGGCACTGAGTGATGGCTGCGGCTGCGGCCACTCCCACTCCCACAGCTGGGCCTGCAGGGGGAAGGGGCTGACTGAGCCACTCCCATCTCAGGCCACTGCCCACTCCCACAGCCGGGCCTGCAGGGGGAAGGGGCTGGGCTGAGCCGCTCCCATCTCAGGCCACTGCCCACTCCCACAGCCGGGCCTGCAGGGGGAAGGGGCTGGGCTGAGCCGCTCCCATCTCAGGCCACTGCCCACTCCCACAGCCCGGCCTGCAGGGGGAAGGGGCTGACTCAGCCGCTCCCATCTCAGGCCACTGCCCACTCCCACAGCCGGGCCTGCAGGGGGAAGGGGCTGGGCTGAGCCCACTCCCACTCCAGCCATGTGGGTGGCAGCTGCCCGAGACCCGAGACCCGAGACCCGAGACCCGAGACACGGTGGCAGTGGCGGACTCTGCTGCAGCCCTCGCCCTGGCTGTCTGCGTGCCGCCTCCTCTGCTGACTCTGGGCTGGCCCTTGCCCCTGCTTCCAGGTTTCTTTCCACACAAGTCCACTGCCTTTCTGTTTAAGATGCAACCTCGGCAGGATTTGGGGACAGAGGTGCCGGATGCGGGCAGGGGCAGAGGTTCTGCATCTCAGTGCTCAGTTGTGGGCAGCCCCTGCTGAGAGGGACCTGGCAGCCCCCCACCCCCCCAGTACTTCCTAGCCCCCTGTGTACCCAGCAGTGCCGAGCACCTGTCTTATGCCTGTTGTCCTGGGCACTCCTCCTGCCCTGTGAGGTAGGTACCCCATTTTATAGGGGGGACCTGAGGCACAGAGAGGCCAAATAATACCTGGCAGCAGGTCACACAGCGCGTTGTTGGTGGAGAAGGGATTTGAACTCTGGAAGTCTAGCTCCAGGACTAGAGGTCTGAACTGCTCTTGTTTTCTTGTCACTCTGTCTTCTGCTTATTTCCCACTGCATTAACTGAGACCCGTGTGGGCCAGCCCATGTGACACACACACACACACACACGCACATGTGTGCCTGCGAGTGTGCAGAATTAAGGCGTGAGATATGGGTGAGGTCTGGGCATTGCGTTTTATCTGAAGCTAAGATTCCATATAAATTTCCCATTAGCATCTACAGTAATCAGACATTGGGTAGTTAGAAAATACAATGTCTACTCAAGACTTTTGAGGACTTCTAGAAAAGTAAGAGAACTAGCTCCTCTACCAGAGCTTCCAGCTCAGGGACTGCTGCCTGGCACAGGTGCCCTCACAGTGCCGCTGCCCCTCACAGTGCCGCTGCCCCCTGCTCTCATCCCATTGCGGAGGGCCTGGCCTCCCCCCTGGCAGCACCTCCCATGTCCCCAGAGGCTCCCGCTGTCACCGTGCAGGGTGCATAGCCCTGGGGCGCTGGCTGGGCCTGCACTGGCCTGTGGGCAGCTCGGTCCCACGCCCTGCCTGCTGAAAGAAGTTCGATTGGAGGGCCGTCTCTAGGTGAGTGAAAAGAACAGGAGAGAAAGCCACGCTCCAGCTGGCCAAATTGAAACGAGAATTGAATGGCCGGGAGAAAGAGGCCACTGTACCTTGTAGCCTCTTCCCTGCGAAAGATTAAAGATGTCTTTGGCCGTATACGGTATTGATTTGTCCTCTGAAGTGTAAAGCATCAGTGAGTTGCTCAGGGGAGCGCCAGGGAGTGGGGCAGAGGCAGGGAGTGCACACAGAGCCCCGGCCAGGGCTCGGCCAGCAGGTTCTGGGCACCTACTGTGTGCTGGGCTCCGGGACCTGCATACTTATGCCCATTTTGTAGATGAGGAAACTGAGGCCAGAGAAGTAGGTCAGTCTCCCAAGGCCATGAAGCCAGATGTGGAGGAGCTGGGACTGGAGGCCAGCTCTGTCTTCTGGGTGGGGGGCCCCCGGGGAGCGCCCGGCACTGACAGACACTGGCATGGGGCTCGAGGAAAGCAGGGCCCGTCCGGGGGGTCACTGGGGGTTTGGGTCGGGTCCTCTCCGTGAGCAGTTCCAGCGCCCTGGGCACATCGAGGCCTGTGCTCCCAGGGTGGGAACAGCATGGCCTTTCTCGGAGTGGCAGGAAGAGCTTCGGGCCCAGGCCTGCTCCCGGGGGACACCCTGTTCTTACACAGTGGGAAGTTCCGAGGCCGCATCTCCCTGTCATGCTCCTGCGTCCCCCGTGGCTATTCCAGCGATGTTGATGAGCCAACCTGTTGCTGCCCGACCGCCAGCTCCAACTCCCAGGGCTGAGCCTCGGACTTGCATTTCGATGGCCCCTGTCAGTGCAGTGGCATCGGCGTGGGCATTGGTGACTGGCAGGGCCCTGGCTGTGTGAAATCTCTGGACTCAGCTTCCCTGGCTGTACACGGAACACGGGCCCCCTGGAGGCTGCGAGGGGCTGGGGAAGAGCTAGACCAGCTGGAAAGAGCTGTGCCAGCCCCTCCGGGTGCTCATGTTTCTGGGAGACCAGAGGAGAGGTTTGCCCTCGGCACTCCCAGGATCCAGAACCCATAAAGGGGGGCACTTAGAGAGTCCCTTTCTGCTGCCCCCCTCCCCTCCCCTCTCCTCCTTATCTCCTCCCACTTCTCTGTCTCTCTCTCTAACACTCCAGGCTCAAGCCCACCTCAGGGCCTTTGCACTGGCTGGTCCCTCTGCCCAGAAAGCTCTTTCCCTGGATAGCCATGTGGCCCACATCCTCAGCGCATTCAGGTGTCTTCCCAGCTGTCTTCCCAGGTGTCCCCTCTTCAGGGAGGCCTCTGATCACCGTGTCTCACACAGCCCTGCCAGCCCATTACTCTTCATCCTCTCTTCCCTGCGGTTTCTTTAAAGCACGTGACAAGTACATTTTTATTTGTTTATGGTCCACCAGGGCAGAGACTTTTTGCCTGTTTTGTTCTCTGCTGCATTCCCAGCCTCTAGCACAGTCCCTGACGGGCACATAGTAGTTGCTCAGTAAGTGTTTGTGAAATGGATGATTGATCACAAAATCCAGCTCCCAACTACCCACTTCTTTAGCCCCCCTCCCACCCCTGGGCCTGCGAGGTTGCTCTCCTAGCCTCCCGAACGGCAGGCTGAGGCGGGCAGAGCATCGGCCTCTGGGGTTAGGTCAGGCTGCCCTGGGACTCAGCCTCCATCCCCACTGAGCTCCCTGCTGTCTCTGAGCCTCCACCGACTCACTGAGGACAGAAGTCCTTTCTCGGGGGGCAGAGGCAGGGCTGTGAGGACTCAGGGCCTGTCTGCAGCGGCTTCAGGCTGAAATGTGGGGTTCAGCCTCCTCTCATGTCTCCCACGGTGCCTGCCTCAGAGGACGGGAAAGGGAGAGGCTCGGCCCTGCAGACCCACTTGAGCCTCCCGGCTGGCCTGAGCCGCACAGATTTATTTCACACCTGCGGGCGTGGACAGGCGCTTGGCCGCGGGCCTGCTGGCTCTCGGTGGGCGTGGGAGGCGCGGTGCCCTGCCCTGCCAGCAGTAGGTGCTGAGTAAGTGAATGTAGGGGTGCAGGATGCATCTGTTGAAGTGAAGAGAGACACTCCGGGGTTGCAGGGGCCCTGCCGAGCCAGAGGGCAGGCCAGCAGGGCTGGGGGAGGGTGCTTGGACCAGCAGAGGAAGGAACGGGCCTGCCAGGTCGGGGAGACAGCATGAGCGAGAGTCTGGAGGTAGGAGTGAACGAGGCAGATGGGACCCCGGCGAGGGGCCTGGCCTGGTCCTAGTGGCCTCAGGACAGGGGCCAACGTGAAAGGGAGCTGAGCAGCCCTAACCGGTTTGGCTCAGTGGATAGAGCGTCAGCCTGCGGACTCGAGGGTCCCAGGTTCGATTCCGGTCAAGGGCATGTACCTTGGTTGCGGGCACATACCCAGTAGGGAGTGTGCAGGAGGCAGCTGATCGATGTTACTCTCTCATCGATGTTTCTAACTCTCTATCCCTCTCCCTTCCTCTCTGTAAAAAATCAATAAAATATTAAAA